AGCCAGCTTTCAGGTGTAATTCTAAAACACGATTACTTTGGCAATCACTTAGATAGTTCTGGAAAGACTGTTGACAAAAACTTGGAGCTTAAAAATTTCGAAGCTGCGGGAAACACTCTCGCTAGTATTTGGAGTGAAATGGTTATAGATGGTCATGCCGTGATAGCCGAATTCATTAAGCCTGCAGATAGTACAGACAGTTTTGACGAATTGAACCATGATTGGTATATTAAGCACGTACGCGAATCTCAATATCTTCTACAGGTAAATTGAATTTAGTCTCAAAATATTAATATATTAAAGAATTTTAAATAATGCCATTTTTTTTTTGTTTCTAAAGATAACTAAGTGCGATGATGTTCAGTGTTGTGGCTTGATTAGAAGTAATATTCGTACGATTTTGACTGCTGGATTTCTTCCTGCTCCTTGCCAAATTACTCATGATGAAATAACAGGGCTACTTAAGGTGCCTCAGACAATGAATCATGCTGATGAAGATGCAAGATTCATGCATTTATTCCAAAGATTAAACCTTGAATCGTTTGTTTTATCGCAAACCGGAAATCAGAATAATTTGCCATATGATTACTTTTGCCCTACCATACAGTCACAAATAAAAGAAAGAACTTGCTTTACATGTCATATGTATTTTGCTTCAAAGAAAAAAATTAGCGAGCACAAGAAACTGACTAATCATAAAGTATGTTTTTCCAAAATGAAACCTGTTCGTATTGAAGCACGTCGAAAAAAAGAACTACTTTGTGTAATAACAGACGATTGTACGTTAGCGGAAGATGCTGAATGGATGTGTGAAGATGATGTTGAGAGAACAGAATTTCTTGAATTAAAAAACGATGAAGTTTCTGAATCAGACTCTTTGCCTGTGATTGAATCACTTGAAAATTGGCTGAAAAATCCATGGACAAGTGAAAATTAAAATTATTATAAAAATGAATATTATAACAATAATAATAAAAAGATTGTTAATAATTAAAAAATAAAATTCTTAAAATAAACTTCATTCAAATTCATTAAATTTTTATATTTTCATATTTTAAAATTTGTTCACAAAGTCTTTTATAAATAATAGTAAATATTAATTAACTAATTAATAATTATATATTTTGGACCTAATGTTTTTAGAGTTTCATAAAAAAAGTTTTTTTTGTTAAAATCTTTCTAAAAAATCATGCCTAAATATTACGTAAGATAGGGAAGGGGAGGGGGGATCAAATAAAATATTACTTTTTCTTACACAGGAGTGGGTGGGGGTCTAGAATGACCGAAATCGCCCTTACGTAATTTATGAACGGCCCCTTTATAGTTACAAATTGCAATAGCTTCGAGACTGGATTTATTTTAAATAAAATATCATGCCAAAGAATTACACCGCATATAAACTTGTAATTTTTAATATTTTTTGCTATACCTTCTTGCTTTAACTTTAATTTTTGTATCTCTGTTGACGTCTTCTATTATTTGGAATAATGCATCATAGATTTCGCAAAGTTGAAATCTATGCTTGACCACCTATTAGCACTCAATGGTTTTAGTTAATTGTGAAACATATTTTTCAGCACTTTCCAATGCTTTGTAGAACCAGAAAAAAAAGTGTAATGTTTTTGTACAATAGAAAAAAATATTGTTTCTGTAGAAGAAGACTGCATCATTCACAACTAGGTTTAAAGAATGACATGGACAGGACACATAAATATTAATTTTAATTAATTTAAAGTACGTTAAAATATGAAAATAATCGCAAAATATGTATTTATATTTTAGAAAATACAAGGGAAGCGACGCTTCCACCGCTTCCAAAGACGGCATGCCACTGGTTAAGTTATAAATCTACTCGCGGTTCACATAATGGGCGAGGGCGCCCATTATGTGAACCGCGGCTAACAGGCAGAACCAGTCCTGGATAGAATCATTGGAGGTGTAGCTTACACCGTGAGGTTGGTGCTCTATAAAGCGTAGCGCTAATGCCTGTAATCTGGCTGTTTTACACCTTTCAAATATTTTCGTCATGGAAGCTGCCCCGTATTCGACAATACGGCGCTTCCATTGGGAATATCCGTATACGAATTTATATTCGAATATGCAATAGCAATCTTATCATTTTTTCCACATGTAGCATAGAAATTTGCAATAAGATACGTTTAAATATAAATACATATTGTGCGATTCTTTTCATATTTTAGAAAATACAAGGGAAGTGGCGCTTTCCACCGCTTCCAAGGACGGCACGCCATTGATATTTTGTCAGCTATTTTTCAAACTTTCTCAGTGATTTAAGGTGTTATTGTGTTGATTAAAATCTCCTATCTGAGTGTTTTAGAATATTTTTCAAACATTAATAACTTGCAGTTGTAAATGCTCAACAATCTTTCCTTTTATTCATGCGCGAACTTCTACGGTAAGGGTGCGACTAATGCAGACGCGAATTAAGTATAGACCGAGAGGTTGCAAGCGATATAGTTCTCGCAAAGAAAAACATGCACAAGCGAAAAGCGAGAAATCTCGTTGGCGTGAGCGAATTTCTGGTTCTCGCACATAGAGTATTTGACTAGGTTTGACATTTATCGCGTCTCGCCTCTTCTCGCCGCATATTCTTGCTCGCTCGCGTATGCATAGTCATACTCTTAGGCTTAGAACCCACTTTAGAAGTTATTTAATTAAAAAAACTTACTTGAATAAAAACATTTTAAATTCGGTCGAACGAAAAAACACTATTTGACTCAATAAATCAAACATAACTAAACAAAATTACGCACCATAAACAAAAGTTTACGATTTTCGCGATAAAAACGAGGTTTGATGAGTTTACAAATGGCACCTATATGGTACTTTTGAACTGCGGATACAGCAGTTTTACTGTATATACAGTATATAATCCTGTATTATTGACACAGGCAAAGTCCTCCTTGAAAATTTGGAAATGGACAGAAATTTGATTAGAAATTGATCCATATCCAGGGGTAGATCTAGGAATTTCATTTAGGGGGTGCGCTTCTATGTGAATTTCGATATCCAAAATCGATTATTTTCAGTATCAAAACAAGAAAACGCAAATCTTACACAAATAATTTTAAGCTTGTTTACTTTAATAAATTTTTAAACTATCCGGAATTTTAATTCAAATATACAAAGAAGAATAATTATTAAAACTTGTGCTACTTTTATAATGTCAGATTTGCAACTCTGGTTATTTCCTTTTCGTATCACAGTTGCTTTGTTCGCAAACATATGCAATTATTTTATCATAGAAATCTAATCAAAGAAAAGCAAAGTCTCTTTCTAAATTGTATACAAAGCAGCAAATTCTTTTTTGTATTTCGTTGATGCTTTTATTTAGACACCAGAGCAATAACCCGTGGCCTTTAAAATCGGATCGGGTTCTGGTTTAATCAAAAAACAGTTAAATTGTGTGCAAGTTGTATGTTGGTGGGGCCAATGGTTGATTGGCAGTTACCGTCATCAGTGATGAGTTGGCCGGGCTATCAGTCAGCCCGTGTTCGCGCACCTTTAGGCGATAATACAAGTCCTGTCGACAAGATAAGTCCCAATATTCCAGTCGGGGATCGGCAAGTTTGGGTTACCACCTGGTAGGGAAATTATCAATCAGTTTGAAATGTACAATGGAATTAAAACCGGTACTCGCATTATCGCATAACATAATTGTAAATTTAGCTTTGTAATTGTACTATTAAAATAAACTCTTTTCTACTTAGAATTTTACGGTGTGCATACGCAACCTCCGCATCCCCTCTGGATCCGCCTTATATCAAAATTATCAAACGACGATACAATTCGTTTGATAATTTTGATATAGATCAATTTATAATTCAAATGCATTTTTACTATTTGTGAGCTAAGATTTAGGGTTGTCCTTTTTCTTGTTTAAAAAAAAAAAAACCCGAATTAGGAAAAAGACATTATGGATCATTGATCCATACTTCACCGTTTGGTGGTGCTGGTATCGCTTTTTCGTTCTGTTTCATTTGTCGAGAGGGCGATGCTGTTTAACGAAGTGTTTTAATATTTTTTACGATTTGTTGGGAAGCTTGAAATGTAATACAGTACAATCAAATCAATAATTGAATTAGTCTTCAGATAAATAACATTTTAGAAGAGTGAAATATCGGAGAAGATATGGCGCTTGAATCAAATATCGGTAATTTAGAAGAAGAAGCTCTGAAGAGGAAGGAGAGATTGAGATTATTGCGAGATAAAGCAAAAGGAAAGAAAAACGAAGAGAAAGAAACTTCAAATAATAAAGAAGAATTACCTAAGTAAGTTCATTTACGTATTTAAGTTCCGTTCCAAAGCAAATATGTTAATAGAAATGACTTTTAAGTCATTTGTACACAAATACATATGTATGGTAAATAAATTACAGTAAAACATCGATTTAACAAATAAAATTTCCGGTCCGTACGTCATATGTACAGTACATAAGTAAAAACAGACAAACTAAGTAATTTGTCAATATTTTAGCACATGCATTTGGAAAACCTACTTTGTATATACAGGTAACCCCCCGTATAACACGGCACTTCTATAGCACGGATTCACTCTAACACGGTTCGAGAATTGGTACCATCCCCGTATAACACTGTACTGTTATAGCAAGGATTCACTCTGACACAGTTCGAGAATTGGGTAAAACTCTCGTACAACATAAAATGTAATAAATTTGTACATACTTAAGTAATAATAGTTCACGAAAATAATAATTTTCATGAACTATTAGTACTTAAGTATGTAAATTTTCTTTTCTCGCCTTCTGTCAATACACGTGGTCCTTCTCGAAACTTGTTTCAATATTGCCAGATCTCGACGCTTCTGCTTCTGATGTTGCCAGATGTTTTTTCCTTATTCCATACTTGCTTTATTCTTCTTAAGTGCTCAGCACCATATAAGGAAATTTATAAAGATTTTTTAACTAGAAGCAAGCAATCTAAAATTACATACATTTTGCAAAAGGTAAAGCATAGATCTGAAGATAATGCAGAAAAATGCTCAGAGGATAAGGATAACTTGCCAAAAAGAAAACACTCTTGGTTAATAATGCTTTTAGTGATGACAAAGAAAACATTGTTTAATTTATATTAATATGTATCACTTAAGAAAATTTTAATGAAGATATTTATCTTAATTATGAAAATNTAAAATATTTTTAAAGTTGAAAATTGTCTTAATGTGGCCAGAATAGGTACAGTACATCTACCCTATTAATTATTGCATTTAACCGTCTAGATAATTATTGATATGTCTATTGTTTTAGATAGTTCTGCAGAAATCCGGAAAAAATCTTAATTAAAAAAATCAATAACTTGCTATATCCTAAGTTTGAATTTCTGTTTTGTTTTACGAATATATGACAGCATATAGCTAGGATAACTTAATCAGTGTGTTGTTATGGTCCGTTGTGTGGCTCCATCTAGCGTGAGAAAATATTTTCGCTTGGACACAACACCTCAATAGGATTTCCCCCATTTGACTAGGCTGTTCTTATTGTAGGCTGTGCCTTAGTGAACTTCGTTAGAGTTTCGTTCGAAACGTCATCACTGCAGAGCATGCGCACTGAGCGAGACTACTACTTTTCGAACGATTCGTTACTAACGCGTTTAACTCGTTTAATCTCAAATTTGCAATAATATGTTAAATTTTATAACTTATAATTCAATCATACATCTACATTAAGTAACCAGACCTGTTAAAAATACTCAAAAACTTTCTGTTTTAACCCAATAAATATAACAAAAAGTTATATAAGAAGAGATTAACAAAACCTACTGTATCAAAGAAAAGCAGTTCTTCGATAACAAATTCTTTCGAAGAACTTTATACTTTTTGTTTTAATATACAGTATAATGTAATGTATTTTTAATGTTATGAACTGTACTTTTCTTTGTTTTTACGTATATTTGTTAATTTTGGGTAGATATCAACTGTCCTTCGAGACTTTTCTAGTTAGCCTACTTGTAGAAATGAATAAATAAAGTAGTCTATGTAATAATGTTGAATAATATAGCCTTTCAAAGTCTTGTACAGAAATATGGAACGCAGAGTCATCAGAATGTCAAACGAAAGTCTGAAAAAAGCTGTATCAAATAGCAAATTAAGTTTTCACTTAAGATGTGAATATGGGAATGTTTGAACCAGGGCCGTGCGGTAGATTTTCTCAGTATGATGCAAGTCTTCGAAATGCCGCCCCTTAAATTTTTTTTCTTTACTTCGTACATTTTGTGCAGTCTTTTTTTTACTCACAATCGAAGATAACCTTCGATTGTGAATAAAAAAAAAAAGACTGCACAAAATGTACGAATACTATTTTTATTTTGAAAATATAAACTGCTATAAAATAGTGATATCAACTATCAACTACAACAATCTACTACGGTTTTACTCTTCTAACTTTAACTTTAGCAAATTCGTTAATTAGGGATGTGTAGTTTAGAGTGGCAGCCAATGTAGATTCAATAGAAATAAATGATAGATTTCTAAGTTTTGTTTGGTTTATTGAACTTCTTAAGTAGGGTTTTATTAATATTAATTTGGAAAAACTTCTTTCTCCACTAGCTACAGAGACAGGGCTACAACAGTATTCGGATACAAAGTAATTAAGTTATTTTGGCACAAATTATTTAAAACATCCAAAGGTTTCATTCAATGCTAGCATTCAGGATATATCACGCAATTCTTCTTGAAGATCATTTGCATTTATAATTGATTCATTTGCGACTGAAAGTATTGACTGGAGACTGGTACAATAATTTTCTAGCGTTTTTTTCATCTAAATCCTTGAGTTTTAAAATCTATATATATAAAAATGAATGTATGTCTGTGTGTGTGTGTCTGTCTGTCCTTCATGCATTACCACACCGTTTATCCGATTAAAATGAAACTTTGGGAAGTTGTTTAATATACTCCGGCGAAGGTTTGTGGCATAGTACGATTGCCATAAAACTTCGGAAAGTTTTTTAATACACTCCCGCGAAGGTTTTTGGCAAAGTACATTTATCCTACGATAGATGGCGCGCGTTTACACGAGCATTCGAGCACAGTGTGTTCGATCGATTTCAAATTGTGAAGACCATTTCCCCCCTTCAAAAAATATCTCTATATATGCATTTGTGAACTGTTATTTACGATATTTGTAATAATTTTTGTTTAATCACTTTATTTCAACTTTCTTTTTTGCTAATTATGTATTCGCTCGAACTTCGTTAAAACCTCAACTGTACCCCGAACAACAACCGAAGTTGTAGGAGGAAATTCGCGTATTTTACCGATCTAGGTATCCCCCCTTTTTCAAATTTTAATATCGACTCGAAATAATAATGTAATAATAATAAGTTTTAATAAAAATTATAAAATGTAAATCGAATTTTGTCATAACCAGTTTGCTTAAATTTCCTTTCTTCTGAGATCGCAGCAATGCGCGACGGGTAAGCTAGTGTCTTATAAAAACTGAAAATTTTTGCTATGGGTTTCCAGAAGCGTGAATCGTTCATTCAGAGAATCAATAGTAATGTCCAGAATATAATTGAAAAAGTTTATTTTAATTAAAATTTACTCTCTTCTGTTAAGGACTCATCGACAGCTTCTTCGTAGTCAAATTGATGCTTTTTCCTTCTGTCTCTAACTTCAGTTTCGGAAGGAAATTCTGTACTGCATTCAAGATTCTCTGCAATCTCATTAGCAGCAGTTTTCATCTGATCTTATCCAGATTGTCTATAACTTTTCACTTTTTGTATGATAACATCCTTACACAATCTGACAAATTTGGGGCCGTCCATAAATTACGTAAGGTATTTTGGGGTGGGAGGGGGTCAATGATTTCTTACTATTTCTTACTCAGGGGTAGGGGGTAATAAATCCAGTCTTACGTAATATTCTTAAATTTATTTTTTTTATTTCGTTGAATCTGGAGTTTTGAATTTGGCTTTAATTGGGTGGTTTCTGTTAAGAACGCTCGTTGTACTAACGCCATCTCGTGTGACGTGATAATATATTAGACGTAGAAATGCAAAAAATAAACTTAGATGATGTTTACCAAAGATTTTTCAAGTCATATAAAAAAGCACATGCCAACAAGAAAAGTGATAACGTACAAAAAGATGCAAATCTTGTATGGACCGAAGCAAAAGCTCGATACGGCACTGATACAAACGGATTCAGTACTTTTATACAACAACGTATAAACCATTACGACACTCAAGATAAAAAAAGAAAAGTTGGCTTATTGTCATATTTTAGTAAGGTATGTTGTATATTAAGTTGCTTTTTATACTTTTTTGCTTTCTAATCAATAAAGTGTTATGAACTTGATATATATATAATTATTCTTTTTATGAAACAGAATAATTATAACCTAGTCAATCAAAAGAAAGAGTCTGAAATCGTTACAAAAATGATAACTAATTTGGCTCCTAACCATGATAATACTCCTCTTCCTATTGCAAAAAGCATCGATGTTGAGTGCACTGTTGGAAATAGTATATCTTCACCAAAAGCTTATAAAAAAACACACAAAGCTCCAGCTCAAGATGAGGCCGCTGAAAAAATTACAAGTTTAAAGTACAAATTGAACATTCAGCTTTTAGCTCGAGATACTGATCTAGGAGGAGATACGTCACTAAATGATATTAAAAAAACCAAAAATGAACTA